CTCTACAACTCCATGCCGAGACGTCTGACTTCTGTATGTGTAGCTCAATAAATCATTTATTGTTCCTGGTAACCTTTATCATCCTTGTGAATAGCACTTCCTTCTGGGTGCAACTATTCTTCTGACAATGAGTGTACAATTTAACAAGAAATTAAGTAAAACCTCAATTCCAAGAAAGTTGGGATGCTATGTAAAATGTAAATATATGTAAATAAAAAGAGAATGCAATGATTTGCAAATCTCATCGATCCATATTTTATTCACAATAGAACATAGAACACATATCAGATGTTGAAAGTGAGACATTTTACCATTTCATGAAAAACACTAACTCATTTAGAACTTGATGGCAGCAACACATCTCAAAAGAATTGGGACAGGGGCAACAAAAGGCTGGAAAAGAAAGTGGTATTAATAAAAAACAGCTGGAGGAGCAATTTGCAACTAACTCACATGATGGGTATGAAAAGAGCAATTTAGAGAGCCAGAGTCTCTGAGAAGCAAAGATGAGCAGAGGTTCACCAATCTGCGGTTCAATTTCAGAAAAATGTAAAATTGCGAAGACTTTGGATATCCCACCATCTACAGTACATAATATCATCAAAAGATTCAGAGAATCTAGAGGAATCCCTGTACGCAAGGGACAAGTCTGACGGTCAATATTGGATGCTCTTTATCTTCAGGCCCTCAGGGGGCACTGCATTGAAAACAGGCATGATTCTGTTCTGTACGCAGAAACACTTCCAGAAATCATTGTCTGTGAACACAGTTCATCGTGCAATCCACAAATGCAAGTTAAAGCTGTATCATGCAAAGAAGAAGCCATATGTCAACATGATCCAGAAACGCCGCCGTCTTCTCTGGGCCAAAGCTCATTTAAAATCGTTTGAGGCAAAATGGAAGATTGTCCTGTGGTCAGATGAATCAAAATTTGAAATTCTTTTGGAATATGAAATTTGTTTTTGGACACAGACGCCGTGTCCTGCGGATTTAAGAGGAGAGGGACCATCCAGATTGTTATCAGCTCACAGTTCAAAGGCCTGCATCTCTGATGGTATGGGGTTGCATTAGTGCCTATAGTGTGGGCAGCTTACATATCTGGAAAGGCACCATCAATGCTGAACGGTATAAAGACGTTTTAGAACAACAGATACTCCCATCCAGACAGCGTCTCTTTCAGAGAAGGCCTTGCATATTTCAGCAAGACAATGCTAAACCACATACTGCATCCTTTACAACAGCATGGCTTCGCAGAAGAAACGTCTGCTGAACTGACCTGCCTGCAGTCCAGACCTTTCACCAACATTTCACAAACATTTGGCGCATCACAAAACGAAAAATCCAGCAAAGAAGACCCAGGACTGATGAGCAGCTAGAATCCTACATCAGACAAGAATGGGACAACATTCCTCTCCTTAAACTCCACCAATTGGTCTCCTCACTTCCCAGATGTTTACAGACTGTTGTTAAAAGAAGAGGGGATGCTACACAATGGTAGACGTGGCCCTGTCCCAACATTTTTGAGATGGGTTGCTGCCATCAAGTTCTGAGTTAATGTTTTTCATGAAATGGTAATGTCTCACTTTCAATATCTGATATATGTTGTATGTTCTATTGATAATAAAATAAGGGTCTGTGAGATTTGCAAATCATTGCATTCTGTTTTTATTTACATTTATTTACATTTTACATAGCCTCCCAACTTTTTTGGAATTGGGGTTGTACTATTATCATTATTTAAGTACAAATAATGTAAAGGCCTTTCAGTGCAGTTACAAGAGCTATTAGTGGGCCAAAGCACAACGTCTAGCATTCTAGCTGGCTAAGTTTTGGTCTACAAATATTAATATAACTTTATTAAATTATTATATTTTACAAAGTCAATGTCAAGTGTTCAGTAAGGAAACATGAATAGCATCTAATGTTAGCTAACTGTTTGAAAGTGCAGTGTGTAGGTCAGCTGGGTGTAATCTGGGTTGCAGTGGAGGAGTGGAGCTTCACATTACACTGTGCAGTCTTGTTTCTAACTAGGCAAATTATTATCTTGTCACAGCTACGTGGAAAAGCCAAAAAGAGCAAAACTGTAAATTGGATCTCCATCCCTAAAACAAAGGAGGGCATCAAGGCCAACTCGGTCTGCAATGTAGCTGGCTGGGGAAGAACAGGATCCTTCAAATCTGGTAGCAATCGTCTTATGGAGACCAAAATTACTATCATTGCCAAAAAAAAAAATGTAAGAAACTCTGGGAGAACTTTCTGACCCCAAGGATGATATGTGCACTTCATCCTGGAGGATCTTACAGGGTATGGGAAAATTATTAATACAGTCAGTCTGGATTATTGTGTTGACCCAACACTGAACAATAAACCAAAGTAAATAAAGTGAGGATAGTAATGTGTTTCATTTGTGTCTTGTTAACAGGGAGACTCTGGAGGTCCTTTGGTGTGTGGGAATACTGCTATGGGCATTGTTTCCTTCGGTCAGAGGAACAAGTGTGATGCACCCACGAAGCCGAAGGTTTTTGCCAAAATATCTTAATTTCTGCCCTGGATCAAGTCCATTATTAGGAAAGTTTAATCTGCATTTGATGAAAACCAAAGCATTCACCACAATTTCATCTCAATAAAAGCATTTCGCAAGCATATTATTTGATGACAATGTATATAAGAAATCCTGTGGAAAGTCATCCTCACAATTCTGTATGATAAAGTGTAACAAATGAAGTCAAACACCAAGGAAAAACAGGTTAATGGTGGTCTCCCAGGGCCTGACCACACAACTATAGACGACCTCTTAAACTTTTAGTGCTTGAATGTGATGAAGTCTGCTGTAAGGCCACGCCCACTCTAAAACCCACCCCATATTCCTCTGTGCTCTTTTAATGTCTTAAGTACAATCAATAACAAAAGCAAACCTAGTGAAACATTTTTAGTTGTTATATATTTTTTATGAGTTCTCTGCACATGCAGTAAACATTTACATGCTTAACTTTTTTTTTTCTTTTTGTTTTTGGGGTGACTTTTTAGCCACGTTAACATTAAATGCAGTGGCTCGTTGTTAGTGTTGGAGCGCACCAGTGACCTCTACTTTGACCTCTTCCTTCTTGAGGTGTTGGGTTGGTTTACAGATTTGATTCTCAGTTTGTTCCCACCTCGATACGTCTACGCTCCCGCTCAAATATAGCCCAAAATTTCTCATGGTTGTCCCCAGATATTCTCATAATGAGATCAAACTGGGCCCCACGAGAGCATTTTAATGGACACTTGGAGATACATAGGAGATTCTAAGGGAGCAAGATACTAAACAGACCCTGAGTCAGCAGCAAACAGGACACAGTGCTTAGATGTAAATACAAAGCAAACATGTGTTAAAGCAGGATCAACAACTGGGAAAGCACAAAGATAGAAAATCAGGAGATGTGCAGAAAATAAACAAGACTTTTTAGGTTACAGGTCTGTGGATCTACTCAGTGTTGTGGCGAGAGTGACCTCTGGAGGTGAGGAGTGGAATCCCCAGGCACAGATGTGACATACAGATAGTGTATCTGAATATACAAGCCAGATTCATGCCAGTTGTCAAATAAGCTTCAGTGTTCAATGTTTACTCTATCTAATAGTTGTACATCAGGTTCCACCTAAACCTGCATCTGCATGACTTCTTTTAGCAGAGACGGCGGGGGTCCTTTGGAATGTAATAAAACTGCTGTCAGTAAAGTTGTGTGTTTTGAAGAAGGGGAATTGTTATCACACAGCAAATGGCTTTCTAAAGACATCTAAAGCTATGAAACAAAGAGTGCTTCAACATTAATTTTTTTCAGTGAAGGCTTTATTAGTATAGAAAATAAAAACGTTGCCGTGTCTCTGGTCAAATGACATGTACTTTTGATTTTCTAAGTGAAAATAAGTGATCACATCCTCTACTGAGAATACACTTTTTAAAACACAATTACTGTTTATTTGCTGAATTTAATAAATTGAGAAGAAAAAAAAAAACTTAAAAGGGAAAGGGAAGAAATAAAAATGTACTGTCATACACCATTTTTCCAGATCACTTCTGAATATTTTGAGTACCAAGATGCTCTGCATTTTATGCACCCACGGCCATGTAGACATTGTATGTTCTATTTGAAAACAAAAATAAATAAATAAATAAGAAATCGCAAAAAGTGTTGTGTGCAAAAGTTGACACATTTTAGGTTTTTTTCCACAATACATCAGTAATAAAATAAAAATTGTGCACCAAAATATGCAGAAAAAAAATCCGCATTTAAGGGCATTGTCTGTCAAAGGTGTATTATTTTACTTAGAAAATCAGTAAAACATTAAGGATAATATTCATTTGACCAGGGGTGTTCAAACTTTAGTATATGCCTGTATTTATACAGAAATCATCTGTATTTAAGGGATACAGTAGATACTGCAATATTTCCACTGACAATTTTCAGCACTTCTTTATAGTGTGAGCATCAGAGGGTTATGAAAAGCTTCACATCAGCATCTTCAGTATGATTAAAACCAAGAAAGTGCAAAAAGATGAAGAGAACTCAAAGGATAGTTTGCTGGTTGTTTACTGCAGCACTGTATTAAAACCAGAAGTTCAATATATTTGGGACAATAGACTTGGAAAAGGATTTAGGAAGTAAATTTTTTCAGGAGGTCTGAGATGAAAAGGCTCTAGAATCAGCCCTGATATATTCTGTAATACTTGCTGACTGTTTTTGTAAATGATGTATTGAATGTTTTTTTTTGTTTGTGCTGCACCTACATTTCACTGCAGTGGTTAATGAAGTTTTATCTTATCTTATATTTATGTGAAAAACACTCACTTTGTTTTTCAAGTCAAGACTCTTAACCACATAACCATGAACCAGTTATCAGACACCACAGATTTCAATAAGACCACAACAAACCGTGAGAAAGAACGTTTGTGGTAAACTGACTCTTCCTACCTTTCTATTTAAACTCTTCTTCTTCTTCAAGGAGATCAAACTCTCTCCAAAGAGCATCATGACTCTCATCTCTCTGCTTCTGCTGGCTGCTCTGCTGCCATATCTGAGCCACTCTGGTAAGCGTCATTCAAAAATAAATACTTTCACTGAATTGTTCTTACATTTAAAGCTTGATTAAAGTTAGTGTTGTTATTCGGCTTTCAGAATTCTCACATGTACTTTTCAGATGCATGAATTATAAAATAAAATCAGTCTGTTTTAGGCAATTTACACTGAGTATGATTATAACTCCTCCACCTTCTTTCTCTCTCAGCCAGTGTTAATGTTGGTATAATAAATGGCACGGAGGCTAAACCTCACTCCAGACCCTACATGGTTTCTCTTCAGAAACATGGATCACACGTCTGTGGCGGCTTCCTTGTGTCTGAAGAATTCGTCATGACGGCTGCGCACTGCCGAGAGAAGTAAGCTTTTATTTATAGCATTTTCTTGATGTGGGTCTTAGGATGAAAATGACTACTTAAGTTAAAATGTACTCATTTCAATACTGTTAACTTTTTTCATGTCATTCATGTAGACGCTTCCAAAGCTGGTTGTCTGGACAAATATCAACTACTTCACAAACGCAAAGTCATTTTTGAGGAGAAATCTGAGTGAAACATTTGAAAAAACACTTTTTTTCTTTTTCAGTGGCTTAAGTTCCAGGTATTAACCAAATTAGTGTGTTAAGTATCAACTAAATTACACTGAAATGCCCCACAGGTTCTGTGTAATAACTGGGTAAGTGTGAGGTACAAACTTTTAAGTGCTGTGTAATTATTTTGGGTAAAAAGTTCTGTGTAATTAGCATGGTGTCAAAAGATTGTACACAAATAAATACAGTTATTTTTCATAGTATGTGCCTGTTTTTAACCTATAAATGAAACTGAATCTTGGCTGTAAAAATGCAGTGGTTCTTTCTCATCCTTATGGTTTAACTGGGTTGTTATATTTACAACTCCATTTCCAAAAAAGTTGGGACACTGTGCAGAATGTAAATAAAAATAGAATACAATGATAGTAGACATATCAAATGTTGAAACTGAGAAATGTTATTGTTATTTGAACAATATTTGCCAATTTTGAATTTGATGCCAACAACACATTCCAAAAAAGTTGGGACGGGGCATGTTTACCACTGTGTTTCATCACCTCTTCTTTTAACAACACTCTGTAAGTGTTTGGGAACTGAGGAGATCAACTGCTGTAGTTTTGAAAGTGAAATGTTTCCCTTATTTAATATAGGATTTCAGCTGCTCAACAGTTCAGGGTCTCCTTTGTTGTATTTTTCAATTCATAATGCTTAATATTGTTTTCAGTGGGTGACAGATCTGGACTGAAGGCAGGTCAGTTTAGCACTCAGACTCTTTTAATATGGAGCAATGCTGTTGTAATACATACAGAATGTGGTTTGACATTGTCTTGCTGGAAAAATCAAGGCCTTCCCTGAAAAAAACGTCATCTGAATGGCAGCATATGTTGCCAAAACATGTATATATTGTTCAGCATTAATGTTGCCTTCACAGATGTGCCTGTCACCCATGCCATGTGCACTAATGCACCCCTATACCATCATGAATACTGGCTTTTGAACTGTGCACTGATAACAAGCTGAGTGGTCTTTAGCCCGAAGGACACAGTGTCCATGATTTCCAAAAAGTATTTCAAATGTTGATTTGTTGGACCACAGGACACTTTTCCACTTCACCTCAGTCCATTTTAAATGAGCTCGGGCCCAGAGAAGGCGGTGGCGTTTCTGGACCCTGTTTCTATATGGTTTCTTTTTTCCGTTCTAGAGTTGCATTTGTGGATGCAGAGATAAACTGTTTCCATAGTTTATCTCTTCCATGTGTCCATGCAGTGATTTCCACTACAGAATCATGTCTGTTTTTAATGCAGTGCTGCCTGAGGGCCCAAAGATCATAGTCAGCAAATGCTTGTTTTTGGCCATGTCCCTTGCATACAGAGATTTCTCCAGATTCTCTGAATCTTTTAATTATATTGTGCACCGTAGATGATGAAAAGTTCTTTGCTATTTTACGTTGAGAAACATTATTCTTGGATTGTTGCACTATTTGCTTGTGCAGTCTTTCACAGAGTGGTGAACCCTTCATCATCTTTACTTCTGAAAGACTCAGCCTCTCTGGCATGATCTTTTATACCCAATCATGTAACTGATTTGTTGCCAATCATTTTTTCAATAATTTTTGCCATTTTTTTTAGCATTACACCACTTTACCAGCCTTTTATTGACCCCATCCCAACTTTTTTGGAACGTGTTGTTGGCACCAAATTCAAAATGGGCATATGTTTTTCCTCAGTTTCAACATTTGATATGTTTTCTTTGTACTATTTTCAATTAAATATAGGGTTTAAATGATTTGCACATCATTGCATTTTGTGTCCCAACTTTTTTGGAAACGGGGTTGTACTTCAGAAAACTATCTTTGAATTTTACATCATACTTTGAGGTGTTTCTCATTCACTTTCCAGCTTAAACATGTGACGTTGCAGTGAAATTTAGTGTATGTTTATGCTCACCACCTTGTTACTCCAGACAAGTCTTATTAAACGAATTATTTTATTATGTCTTTTATCAGCTTATTTACTTGAAACTGTCAGTCACTTCAGTGTAATTTAGTTAAACTGTCTTGGTACTTATCATGATTTTACCTGCTCCTAAGGGATAGGCGACAGCCGTTCGGAAGGGCAGGGCGATGGCCTCCGTCGCCCCCGGCCGATCGAAAGGGAGTCGGGTTCAGATCCCAGAACCCGGAGACGCCAGTGGGAGCCCCGGGAAGAGTTCTCTTTTCTTTGTGAAGGGCAGGGCGCCCTGGAATGGGATCACCCCCAGAATAGGGGCCCAAGCCCTGGAAAGCGCCGTGGTTCTTGCGGCGTCCGGTGAGCTCTCGCTGGCCCTTGAAAATCCGGGGGAGATGGTTTAAGTCTTGCGCCGGGCCGTACCCATTACCGTAATTACACAGCAGTTTGGAGATTATACCCCACTCAGTTATAACACAATACTCTGTGTCGTGTGCCAACAAAAGTCAGACGCTCACGGTTTGACAACACGACAGAGCTTTTACTAACACAATCAAAGTCCAGAATTGCAGTCAAAAAACAGGCGTGGTTCAGATCCAAAAAGCACAGTAGAATGATACCAGTAAGCACAACACGAGGCTAACAAACACTAAGGGACAGGCAAAAGACGTAGTTGCCAAAACAAGCAAAAAGGGGTCAAAAGCACGAATCAGAAAAGTCCAGGCAAACAATCCAAAGGGCAGAGCAAAAGGCAAAGTCGAAATAACAACTGTTTTTCACTGTTTTTGACAATAGTCAAAAAACAAGATACAAACAATAGAATAAATGCTCAGTAATTCACAATGGAAACAATACCTCGCAACTAGCTCTATCTAAAGCCTGGGCTTATAAACTAAACTATGAAGGTCATTTGACTAACACACAGGTGATACACATCAATACTCTGGTCATCTAGAGTGCTGATAGGAGCACGAGAGAAGGTTGGGAGTCTCGTGATTTCCCAGAGGATTCTGGGAGATGGAGTCCATGTTCCTCTGAGAGCTCGCTGGAAGCGTGACACTCTGGTTAAGACCTAGAATGTAGGGGAATGTAGAAGAAACCACAACCTTTTTGTATTAATATTTTGGAAAAAATATTGTGATATAACTTGCTACCAAGTGCAATAATTCAGAAAAACATCTAAAATATCCTTTTAAACAGTGAAGGGATACTTACAGCAGTGCTGGGTGCTCATGATCTGTCAAACAAGCAAGAAAAAGGTTCTGTCCGCATGGAAGTGGAGTCTTATTACCGCCATCCCAACTACAATGCAGACACTGTGGACAGTGATATCCTGCTTTTAAAGGTAAATAAATATTTACACTAATCTACAAAATAGAATGTACCCTCAAATCATACAGAATATATATATGGAATGTATTTGACAGTGTTAGGCCTGTCAAATACATGCTCCCCAATAACATATTAATGCTAAAATTGACAGTGTGACCTCAGATTCATCTGTCACATAAGCCTGTGAAGTTTCATAAGAATTGGATAAAGCATTCATGAGTTATTGCTATCTCAGTACATCTTGATCCAATCTAGAAGGGTTAATTAGCATATGGCAGCAATATTGGTTTCAAATATCAACATCAACAACAACAACATCACCAAACTAGGTGTTGAATGATAGCTGTAATTAACTGGCCTTTCTCAAGGAGAGGTTTCAAAAAGGTTAAATAAATACACTAACATACATAAAAGTACTACCTATTGGATTAATTGTATAGTTGTATTTATGTCACAGTTTTACTATAGAAAAATATTTCTAATTTCTGGAAGTTCGACAAACCTACAACCCGCACATGTAAATGTAACAAGCAAATGTAACTTTGTGTCGCATCTAATAAATCTAATTTAAATTATTTTCTTTGATCTGAAACAAAGTATGAGTCTTAAGTTGTATTCGCTAGTGTGAGGCTTTTCATAACCTGCTAATGCTCACACTGTAAAGAAGTGCTGTAAATTGTCAGTGAAAATAAAGCAGTGATCTACTGCATTCCTCAAATACAGAAGATTGCAGTATAAATGCTGCATTCTGGGAGAAACAGGTCGAACCTCTTGCCAAAGAAGGTAAAATGTTGGATTTTACAGTAATTTACTGTTTTTGCAAAGCACACTGGTAAAGTCAGCACTACTTTGTGTCTTTAGTCATGAGCCTGTCTCTGAATATTGTAGTATTGGGGTGGAGCTTCTTTGCCATTTTGTTAGTTTTTGTTCATTTGCTCTTATTTTGTTATCTACAGTTTACTTCATGCAAGTTTTTTCTTTTAATGTAATATGTTATTTCATATATTACACATAGCACATTATAATGTACTTTCATTATTTTCTGTCCATTTTATGTTCAAGCATAATGAAACTGGAGTGGTATGTCTATAAGGAAATTTTCTATCATCCTCTGAAATTTTAAACTAAATACTCATATTTTGAACAGTCACATAAAATCTCATTCTCCTTTTAACTACCTGTGAAATGAAAATACATAGTTTTTTCACTGTAGATAACTGTTTAAAAAAACAGCACTTTTTGAACTAGTCCTAGAATTTTTATCCAGTAACTACAAAATTACACTACAGTGCTTAAGGACACTGAAAGTCTTATGAAAGAAAATATTCAATTCAATCAATCAATCAATCAATCAATCAACCTTTATTCAAGAGCAAGGTGTGTAATAGTTTGCGAGGTCACAAAGAAACCCAGGGTAACTTCTAAGCAACTAAAGGCCTGTCTCACAGTGGTTAATGTTAATGTTCATGACTCCACAATCAGGAGAATACTGAATAACAATAGTATACATGGCAGGGTTGCAAGGAGATGGCCAATGCTCTCCAAAAAGAACATTGCTGCCCATCTGCAGTTTGCTAAAAATCACATGGACAAGCCAGAAGGCTATTGGAACAATGTTTTATAGACAGATGAGATCAAAATAGACATTTTTGGTTTACATAAGAAGAGCTATGTTTGGAGAAAGGAAAACACTGCATTCCAGCATAAAAACCTTATCTCATATGTGAAACATGGTGGTGGTAGTATCATGGTTTGGGCCTATTTTGCTGTGTCTGGGCCAGGATGGCTTGCCATTACTGATGGAACAATGAACTCTAAATTATACCAGCAAATTCTAAAGGAAAACAAGCTGAAACTCAAGAGAACATAGGTCATCCAGCAAGACAACAACACTAAGCACACAAGTCATTCTACCAAAGAATGGTTTAAGAATAAAGTTAATGTTTTGGAATAGCCAAGTCAAAGTCCTGATCTTAATTCTACAGAAATGTTGTGGAAGGACATGAAGCAAGCAGTTCATGGGAGAAAACCCACCAAAATAACAGAGTTTAAGCTGTTTTGTTTGGAGGAATGGGCTAAAATTCCACCAAGCCGATGTGCAGGACTAATCAACAGTTACTGGAAATGTTTAGTTGCCATTATTGCTGCACAAGGAGGTCACACCAGATACTGAAAGCAAAGGTTCAGATACTTTTGCCACTCACAGATATGTTAAATTGGATTATTTTTCTCAATAAATAAATGATTCAAGTCTAATATTTTTGTCTCATTTGTTTAATTCGGTTCTCTTTATCTATTATTAGGACTTGTGTGAAACTCTGATTAAGTTTTAGGTCATATTTATGCTTTCAAGCACCACTGTATATTATAAATAATGAGTGCCCTTTGATACACTTCTCTGTCCAGAGTAAATTTGCAATTAGTTATGACAGAAATTGCACTCCTTGTCAGGTATTGTGACTGATTTATTGTGAATTTGCCTGTAAATAAGGCCCAAACTGCATTAGACCTCATAAGTTCCATACACCTGATATGTGCTTGGACCCAAAATTGCTACTTGCAGCTGTTCAGCTTGGTTCACAAAAACAATACCATTTGAACAATAAATTAACCAATTAAGTAACATTTGGAGTACAATTATTAATATAACTTAAAAATGTATTTTACAATGTTGATGAAGCATCTAATAGAATCGAATGTTAGCTAACTGAAAATTAGGTCTGTAGGTCAGCTGGGTGTAATCTGGGTTGCAGTGGAGGAGTGGAGCTTCACATTACACTGTGCAGTCTTGTTTCTAATTAAGCAAATATCTATCTTGTCACAGCTACGTGGAAAAGCCAAACAGAGCCAAACTGTTAACTGGATGTCCATCCCTAAAACAAATGAGGACATCAAGGCCAACTCGGTCTGCAGTGTAGCTGGCTGGGGAAGAACAGGATCCTCTAAACCTACTAGCAAGCGTCTTATGGAGACCAAAATTACTATTGTGGCGGAAAAAGAATGTCAGAAACTCTGGAAGAACTTTCTGACCCCAAGGATGATATGTGCACTTCATCCTGGAGGGACTTGCAAGGTATGAGAAAATGCAGGATGACTAATATGGTCAGTCTGGATTATTCTGTTGACCCAACATTGAATAGTAAACTAAAGGAAATAAAGTAAATTCTGACAACTGTGAGGATAGTAATGTGTTTCATTTGTGTCTTGTTAACAGGGAGACTCTGGAGGTCCTTTGGTGTGTGGGAATACTGCAGTGGGCATTGTTTCCTTCGGTCAGGACAAGTGTGATGCACCCACGAAGCCAGAGGTTTTTGCCAAAATATCTGCATTTCTGCCCTGGATCAAGTCCATTATTGGGAAAGTTTAATCTGCATTTGACAAAAAACAAGACATTCACCACAAATTCATCTCAATAAAAGCATTTCTCAAGCATATTCTTTGATGAAAATATGTATATGAGAAATCCTGTGGAGAGTCATCCTCACAATTCTGTATGATAAAGTGTAACAAATGAAGTCAAACACCAAGGAAGAAAAAAAATAGATTTAATGGTGATTTTGCAAGGCTACACAATTTGCCTCTAAACCCACCTCATATTCCTCTAGTCTGCACCCTTTTAAAGTCTGAAGGACAATGGATAACAAAAGCAAAGCTGGCAAAACAGTATTGTTAGTTGTAATTTATTTTTTTAATTATTATTTATACTTTTTAGCCATGTGAACTTACATTACATACATGGGATTACAGTAGTCTTGTTTTCTGTAAGACAGTGTTGACGATCACACCATTGACCCCTACTTTGACCTTTTTCTTCTAGAGGTGTTGGGTTAGTTTAGAAATTGTTTAGAGTTTGTTTCCACCCTAATCAGTCTTTGCTCCCATCCACATGTAGCCTAAAATTTCTCATGACTCTCCAGATATTATCATACTGAGATTGCATTGGGCCCCACTAGAGTGGTTTAATGAAGACTTGGAGATGCACACATTGGAGATTCAGAAGGAGCAACATAATGAAGAATTCCTGAGTCAGTGCAAACAGGACACAATGCTCAGATGTAAATCCAAAGCAAACATGTGTTAAGGTAAAGTCTAAGACTGGCCAAGATAGCATGCAGATATGGGCCACTTTTGGCAAAGATATGGCACTGCTGGCCCATGGTCAGCACTGGCAAACTGCATGTGAGCCAAAATTGGTCCACATTAAAAAAGCTTATTTGGTCCACATGTGCCAAAACAGATCTGGACACTTCTGGCAGAAATATGGCAGCACTGTCTAGCACTGAAACTGGCAAACTGCATGTGAGCCAAAAAGGCCAGCATATTAAAAATGCTCACATGGCCCACATGTCTCAAAGCAGATCTGGGCCACTTCTGGCAAAGATTGCCAGTGCTGACATGAGCTACATGACAATGTGGGCTTGTAATCAGGAGTACCAGAGTGGTGCAGTAGGCTAAGCATTTTCAGCTAGAAACTAAAGAGGATGAAGCACATGCTACCCTCCACTACCTGGATCTGGTGTGACAGTCGAAGTCCCACCCAACAGGGCTGTTGTTATAATTGCCTGGTTTTGTACTAATGGTTTTGAGTGGTGTGTCAGTTCTGGCAGTAATGGTTTAAAAGTAGCTGAGATGTGGCCCTCTAAAGGCAAGGTTCTGGCAACTGCATCTGGCCCTCCTGTGCCATCATTCCATGCAGTGGCCATATAAATACGCTATCTGAGGGGAAAGCACAAAAACAGAAAAGCAGAAAATGAACAAATGATGAGAGAGAGAGAGAGAGAGAGAGAGAGAGAGACTACTCAAATTAACTGAGAAGGTTTGCAGGTGTGTGGATCTACTCAGTGTTGGGCAAGAGAGACCTCTAGAGGTGAGAAGTGGAATCCCCAGGCACAGATATGACAAAGAGATAGTAGTACCTGAATATACAGACCAGATTCATGCCAGTCTTGCCAGTTGTCAAATAAGATTTACTGTGCATTGTTTACTCTAATAGTTATAGTTCAGGTTACAGCTTAACCTGCATCTGCATGACTTCTTTTGCACAGATGGTGGAGGTCATTTAAAATGTAATAAAACTGTGTTTTTAAAAAGGAGAACTTTTATCACACAGCACATGTCTGTACAAAGACATTCAGCTAATAAATGATAAATTCTATTCTTTCGGTGAAGTACCTTTATTAGTAGAAAGAATAAAATTTAGGTGTCCCTGCTCAAATGACATGTTCTATTGTTTTGTGAAAATAAGTGAAAACATCCTTACTGTTTATTTGCTGAATTGACAAAAAAGAGTACCACAACACTCTGCATTTTATGTACCTATGGCCACACTGACATTGTAAGCTCTATATGAATACCAAATAAAACATATTATGAAAAAAATGTCCTGTGCTAAAGTAATGACACATTTTATATGTTAGATTTTATCCCACAATATATCAGTGAAAAAATAAAAAACTTCATTCATTTCACTTAGAAAATCATGAAAACATTAATGATAACATTAGTCATTTGACCAGGAGTGTTCCCACTTTAGTATACGCCTGTGTGTGTGTATATATACTTACACAGATGGGCACATACAGCAACAACCAATAATAAAAATAACAATAATAATAATAATAATAATAATAAAAATAATACATTAAAACCCTTACATGGTCAGGGCCCACCAGCAGGCCTAAAGATTTATTACACACTTCAAGAATCTGAGAATAGCTCAGCCAGTTTGCACTGAAGCCCCTGTAGTTACTGAATAATAAGCCTTAGTCTGTAATAAGCCTGGGAATTAAAGAGGTTAACCATTATTTATATTATATTATATTGCCCAAGCAATATAATTATGTTATGCCATATCCAAGAGGCACTGCAACATCAGGAATGGGTAGTGAAGCTAGTTACTACCCACCTCCAAGAACACATAAAATGGCAGCAGATGGTTCTCAACAATTTATCATCTAATGAGGCATCCAGTGTTTTTGACACTGACATTTGGCAAAAGGAGGCTGTTTTAGTGTTATTGTTTGCATGTAATTTAAAGTTTAGATGACAGACTAGTGCAGCAGTTAGTCATTGACACAGAACACAACAGCTGCCCAAAGCCTCAGCTTACTCAAGCTGAGACCATAGGAGTGACCACGGACACTGTTCTCATAGCAATTGTGAGAATTGTGGCAGAACAAAAACACTTGACCTCAAACTCCATGAAACATGCATTCATGTTGTTCTTATCTTAAAGTATCAGTCTGAGAAAATTAAAGGCTTTTGAAATATACTTTTCTTAACTTATTTAAAAATATTTCAATTACACATTTAAAAAAGCCATTGTGGGATCAAAGCGAAGTCATGCACATCTGTAAACGCACCCTCTTGAGTTAGGCCCAAACCTGTTCATCACAAATACGTTGACATCAGCTGTTAAAAGCTTCACTGTCATACACAGATGTACTTTTACCACTTACATTTACCTATACCAATGTATAAGTGGCCACAAGAATGTCCAACTATTGACTGCTAGAAGTGGCTGAGGCAACCAGCAATTTGCAAAAATGAAACGACTGCTGACATTCTCTTGTTTAATGTGTGCTGCAGAGCGCTCTTGACTAAAAACGAAAACCAACTAGACCAATTTTTTAGCCTACCCTCTCTGACCCTCGGCCTCTTTTACAGACTGCTGCCTCTTAATTTGAGCAACAGAAAGTTCGGAGAGCAGATATGAATATTATGTACCCCTTTATTAGTTAACTACTCACACAAAACAACATCATAGTTCGGATACCAAAATGTACTGCCTCTGATATAATCTGTCAAATTTGCTGACTTTATTTATAAGTGTTGTTTTAAATGTACTGCTGTGCCACCCACCTGTCCCAGCACTGTGTAATTAAGCATTATCCAGTGGTGTAACTCCGGGGGGGCAGGCGGGTTAGTTACACAGGGGCCTGCGTCGCAAGGTGGTCTGCACTGACCAGTTCCCAAAAGTTTTTTATTCATTGGGCCCCTTAAGGCTCAGAGTGCCCATCACGAGTATCAGGAGATTTTCTAGTAGCCAGTAGATTTCTCTGAAGATGAAGTAAACTAGAACACAGCAGAGCCACATCCATTAAGATATGTGAAAAAAACTCCCCCTACCCCTCTACCCCCTAATCTCTCACTCGACTGGACTTCTTAAATCACAATCAGTGTATGTGAATAAACAGTATTAGACCAGATACATGTAGTAACAACTTAGTTAACTAGCCTACAGCATTGTGGTTTGTTTTCACAATTTCACAGAATGAATAAGAGATGGAGAGATCTGAGGTCAGTTGAGAACTGGTCACTGCTCACTGTGTACTGTCATCACAGTTTCCACACTGAATCACATAAAATCCTTCCGTAATGTCCGAGGACCTCGGTGTCCTCATGTTAGTTACGAACATGACAAGCACTGAGAACAAAATGAAGATGGTGGATAGCAATGGTTACTAAGCAGAGATTGAAGGGCTGAGGAAAAAAGGTGGAACTTGGCAGATTTTGACTGGCCATAATACAGTGACAGTGCTCACAGAAAACAAATCAAATTTCATTATCTTAAAAAATGCAACAAAATAAATACTCCCATTTGTCTGGGTAGATCTGTGATACTTATGACTACAAAACTGAGGAGGCTACTGCATTCAGATTTGTGCTGTTTCTACACTGAATTTCATGAATGGAGATGAAAAAACTCTTCTGAAGCTACTGAGGTCCAGACCTTACAGCTAGTCACAGTCATGCATGTCCAGAATGGAGCATTATTTGGACTGTGTAATTGACTGAGCTGATTATAGTACTGTCATGGATGGGTATCACATAGAGTTTAAAAGTATGAAACTACTTCTTATTGTAAACAAAAAGTATTTTAAGTTAATTACTAAGGTGAAACAGTCACAGGCCGCTGAGAAAAGTATATGTAAAATTATGAAGGCCTATAGGATCGTAGATATGCCACTGATCTCATCTGATCGTAAACTTATATGAAATTCATTTAGCAGTTTGTTTGTCTCGAGTCTTTTAACCACGTAACCACGTACTGACGCCCAGAAGAATATAGCAATCCCTTCAAAGACCACAGCAAACTATGAGAAACAATGTATGTGGTGAGAGGACTCTTCACATTTCTCTATTTTTCTTCTTCAAGGAGAACGTTCTCACTCTACAGCACCATGACTCTTATCTCTCTGCTTCTGCTGGCTGCTCTGCTGCCGTACCTGAGTCACTCTGATGAGTATCATCTAAACATAGCTTCTTCCAATTAATTGTTCGACATTAACTTTGATGTCAGTTATTGTTATTTTTTGGCCTTCACACTTCTTGATTGACAACACACAGACGGTAGGGCACAGAAAGTGGAAAGACACGCCCA